CACCGACGGATTGCAGTACACCTGAAATCAAGGATGAATTCTACAAGGACCTTTCTCGATTACCCCAAAGCGTTCGATCAACGGACATCGTGGTAATCGCCGGAGACTACAATGCCCAGGTGGGTTCCTTAGACGAATCAGAGAGGCTTCTTGGTGGACGACATGCAGTCCCAGCCAACCGGACGGACAACGGCGATCGCCTACTTCAACTCTGCGCAGACCACGGATTGTTCCTGTCAAACTAATTTCTCGCACAAGAAACGACACCGAGTTACATGAAAACCACCATTATCTTCACTGTGCTGGATCTAGATTGACCATATCGCCATCAGTTACCACTGGACAGGGTCGATTCAAGACTGCCGTTCTTACTGGTCCACACCTGTGGATACGGATCACGCTTTACTACGAGCCAAATTCTCCTTACGCCTGGCAAACAACCGCAAGAAAGCCACCGACATTGGATACCCACGATACAGCGTCAGCGATTGCTGCAAATGGGCTTTCGAAGCGGGACTCTCCGATCGCCTATCAGCTCAATCACCAACGGAAAAACTCAATTAACATTGAAAGCAAATGAAGAAAGCTATGCAAATATCGATAAAAACGACGTCGGACCCTGCCGCAAGCTCAAAACACAAACGATGGATTTCATCGACCTCGGCTGCCCTGCTGCGTGCCCGAAGCACCCTCCTTCCCTACGTCACAGTTTGGCGGCGCACAAATCCCTTGAATTCCCAATCACCAAGAGCCTGAGGAATGACCGCGAGAAGTGGTGGCTAGAAAGGTGTGGAGAGATGGAGAAAGCTGAGGCTGTTGGTAATAGTCGCAATCTTTTCCGTCTTATTAGGAATACGGGTCCTAGGAAGATGAACGTGAGTGAGGTAATTAAGGAATCCCTTGCGACACTGATTCACAATAAGCAGCACCGTCTTGATCGATCGACTGAACATTTCAAGGCTCACTTCAACTGCCCCCATCGACATCTGAACTATCACATCCCCCCACCTCGGTTGGGCATATACTCCCAGTTGACGCCAGTCCTCCACCTGAAATGGAGGTTTCCAGTGAAATAAGCTATCGCAAAAGGCATGAGGCCTCAGGTCCAGACGGACTCTCCTCATCCGCTTTTAAGGATGGAGGCTCAGCTTTCGTCTCGGAGATAACAAAGCTCCTGGGCACAGTGTGGGAGAGAGAACAGGTCATCATGCCGATTTACAAGAAAGGTGACATATCCTGTTGTGAAAACCACAGAGGAATTAGTTTAATTAACATTACTTCTAAACTTCTCGCTGGTATCATACTCCGTCGATTGTCTGCGGCACGTGAACGGTGCACGTGTGAGAACTAGGTTAGTTTTAGACCTGGTCGAGGTTGTATCGACCACATCTTCACTTTTCGCCAAACTCTGGAGCACCGACATTCTTTTCGTAGACCTACCATCTCTGTCTTCCTTGATCTGGAAGCGGCTTTCGACTCAGTCGACCGCTCTGAACTCTGGCGCTGCCTTTTTCTGAGAGATGTGCCCGAGAAGTTAATTTCAATATTACGATCCCTCTATACTCAGCCGAAACCGAGTCCGAGCTTATAGCACGTTTTCGCCGAGTTCACCACGGAAGTGGTGTTCGACAGGGTTGCCCTCTCTCTCCTTTTCTATTTAACTTTGTTATAGATCTGATTATGGAAACAGGAAAGTGGTGTTCGTCAGGGTTGCCCTCTTCCTCCTTTTCTATTTAACTTTGTTATAGATCTGATTATGGAAACAGCCCTATCCTCGTCAGAGGATGTGCGGTATCGATTTACTTCCAGGTGGCAGGCTGTCTGATCTAAAATATGCGGACGATATTGTGCTAATAGGTGAAGATCCAGGTAAGCTACAAGCCTTTCTGGATAGCTTGAGTGCTAGTGTAACCAGGTTCGGTATGCGTTCTGCACCTTCAAAGTGTAAAATGTTACTGCAAGACTGGGTTGGTCCAGCACCCAGCCTCTCCCTAACTGGGGAAGTAATAGAGCGAGTGGTTAAGTTTTATTATTTGGGCAGCTACATCTCACCTGGTGGACGCATCACGGATAAAGTGTTAGCTCGCATACAGAAGGCTCAGTTGGCATTTGCCAACTTGAGACATCTGTGGCGCCGTCGCGACATCCGACTGTCTGTGAAGTGTGGAGTGTATGCTGCGACAGTTCGACCAGTTCTGCCATACGGCGCAGAAACTTGGCCGTTAAGAAAACAGGACAAAGATAGACTGTCGGTGTTTGAACAGCGTTGCACGAATCTGGTGGGGCAGCCGGACGGGCAATGCTGAGGTTTGGCGCCGAGTTTTAGGTAATCGCGGTCGTTCACTGGAGCAAGTGTTCTACCCTCATAGATTACGTTGGTTGGGTTATTTGTTACGCATGTCACCAAATAGGTTGCCACAACGTGCGATGTTTGCCGAGGCAGGTAGTGGATGAAAGAAAGTCAAGGGTGGTGAAGCTAAGACCTGGCATGAGGGTATGAAAAACCTAACCAGGGGACTGACTGGTTCAGATAGGTCCCGTTAGGCTCCCTGAATGGGGACCTCGGAGTGATGATCATTCCCGATGGTTAGAGACACTGAGTGATATAGCTGGGTGTCGTAAACGGTGGCGTTCGTGCATCTTGTCGATTTCTCTGCAAATTTAGTGCAATGAAATCCTAAATTTTCTTCTTGGTCTTACGTTCAACCCTTCCAGCCTTTCTCCTTACGGCCATCCAAATGGGCAACCAAAAGACAGAACGAAAACCGGCGCACGATGATGCATGGTTAAAAAAAATGTATTTTCACTTCCTTTTTTTCTATTTATTGAATATACAAATGTACAGTCAACTTTCAGGAAGGGGGCTGCGGCCATACAAAGGCTGCCTGGGGAAAATACAAATATAGGGAAGACGGGCGGCGGTGGAGCGGTTGAACCCGGGACACCCAGGTCACTAGTTGGTGACCTAACGATTTGGCCAATATCGTCACCGTTGTGCAAACTGAACTGAACTGAAACTGTTGCAGGCTGGAGAAAACCGCGTGGAGTGCAGCAGATGACGTGGAGACGAGGCATGAAGAAATGCACAGAGCGATTAGGTAGAATAGATGTCTTTCGTTTTCCGAGGTGGGCGTTCCAAAGACTCCGAAACCGCATGATTGGAGACACTGAAGGACATGGCTGCTAGCCGACAGCAATTGCGATCTTACTCACTTCTTATCTGACCAGAATGCCTGAAGTAGTATGTATGCCCAGTTGGACTATGTACTCTATGTGTTGACCATAAAGGTTCACTTTCTTTTCCCGTCCTTAAGAATCGGTCCAATCCCTGTCCTCCTTACACATTATTACTTACCTTGTAAGCAATACGGGTTTGGTAGCGGTCACTGAAGTTCACTTCACTGTATTACGCTGCGCAATCATGATAATGATGATGAATCTCTATTCTGCTATCCATGCAATAGATTGAAACATTTTCAGTGAAATCGGTTTCAATTCCCCCCTCCCGAATTTTAAATTATGAGCAATTGATTCCCTCGAGCCTATGCCAACATTGTTCTATATTCCTTTTGTTTCACAATATCGTTGTTTCAGACTAATTAACCGTTTTCAAGCTTAGAATCACCCTTCATTTTTTAACATCTATCCTCCTATCATCACATGTTCGTTTGACA